GACTCTCCTTCGGCATTCTGTGCGTGGATTTGGAGAAGTGCACGGACTCATTGTACAACAACAAATTAAGCAGGCAGCAGTCAAAAGGAGCTGCTGAGCATTCAGCGAATCCGGACAACAGACTGAACTCTGCTAAATCTGCAAACACAGCTTCTCCCTCCGTTTGGCCACTTTCATCTTCCCCGACATCTCCTCCTACAGACCTCCACCTCATGAAGCTAAGTCAAAAAGTAAGAGCTTTGGGCTCTTGTCTGGCGAATGTTGATCGTCTATTAAAAAACGTCATCTTGTGTTCTCTGCATTCCTCAGGCCAGCGACGTCGGCATCAGCTTTAATGATGCTTTAATGATGGAGCTGCACAAAAAGTTTCTTTCAGCTGAAGAGGAATTCTTGCTTTCTTTGTTGTCTGAGTCCAGATCTTTGAAATGCAGGAGTGAAGAGGGGGGAATTATTGATGGATAGGGTTTGAAATAGTTGTCAGGCCTGTTCTGACTTCAGATCAGATTCAACAGGTGCTACTCCACCTATACAGAATTATTAAACCGAAATCCCATTAACTCCACTGCTGTGGGGAGCGGTTGTGTAATCTGTGTGGACTTCTGTAGAATTAGATCTGCTTCATTTGGGCCGATCCGAAAGCAAATAAAGGCGATGTGAACCCAAGCACACACAGCTGGCCCTTGAGACTCTGGATCCTGGGTAAACAAGTGTCCGGCATGCCTCAGCAGAGCTCACCCATGGGGGGACATGAGCCACTGAACAATGACTGATACTCCGCTATAGACTGGATTGATGCAGGGCTTAGCAAAGTTTTATTACATTTGGTCTGTTGCAATACACTGTGGGCCAGGAGAGGATCACAGACTTTGTCATCAGTTTTAAGATTACTATGACATCTTCGCCTCCTTAGAACTTGTAATGCTCCTATTGTTGCTATAGGCCCACTGACTCAACGAGGAAATCTGCTGCTTTCATTTATTTCGCAGCTACAGAATCATGAAGGTTTACTTGCAACTGCTGCATTATCCGTGTTTTGCACTGATTTCTGCAGCTTTAAATGTTACTTTTTCTTTTTTTTTTTTAAATCCGTATTAGTTTATATATTAGTGTTTGTGAATGCTGGAGCCCAGTAACTACAATAAACTCCACATTAGTTACTTATGGCACTCCACTAGTTACTTATAGCTTTATGTCAATCATTTTGCAGTGACTTGAAACTAGTTTAGCGCCTTGAAATACAGTTTTTCAGATTTTGTTTCCCAATAAGTATCCATTTAAATCATCTTATTCCTCACTGTCTGACAGTATGAACTTGCTCAAACTCTTCATTAACTGATGAGAGAAGTACTCAACACAGACTTTTTCAGTCCTCCTGTCAAAACCAAACCGATCAAATGGAAATATTTTAGAAGTCTCCTGCGTCATTTTATTTAATTTTTGACAATATTCACCCCAACATATTTGACCTGTTTCTAAACTGTCTTACAATTTTTGTAATTAATGACTCACTGGTAGGCCGCTGCTTGTTATGACAGTGAATTATGGTATTAATGCAGGTTGTAGCTCCAAAAACACCTTGTTGTATTAGAAAGACCTTATAATGACAAAAATACACATACAAACTACATTGTAAATTATACACATACACTGCACCAAAGTCTAAACCCAAATGGTTTCTTTTCTGTCCTATAGAAAAAGGTACAAATCTCATTTCTATTATTCTGGTAGAAAAAAATTGCCAACTCTGCACAGAAGCTTTCTGAGCTGTTCAAATGGTGACAAATTCTGGACCCTTGAGTTAATCCACAGGCTGGTCAGGTGTGTTTTTGTTTAAAGGACAATGATCAGACAGTGTGACCAGCATACAGACACTCCCTCTGACCAGTGGTTATAAAAGTCCACCTTAAAATGCAACTTTATTCAAATGGCACGATGCCACAGATGACAAGAGAAAGATGAGAACAGGCTGTTGGCTGCTGGATGCCGGTGCGTCAGTCAGAGCCGTAGTCAGACGCTTGAATGTCCACCATTCATTGTCTATGAAGTTTGTTTCAGACAACACGGTACAACAATCTGTCACATAATGCTGTGGATGGATGTGTCTGAAAACGTGGTCCTCTCCTCCTAAAATGTCCAGCGACTTTATCAAGTCCTTGCAGAAGAGTGGGACAACTTTTCACAAGCAGCATCAACAAACTCATTAACTCCATGCTTCACAGATGTTTGACTTACTTGTAGTTTCTTTTCGGTGGCCCCACTGTTAGTCAATCCATTATCAAGTCCCACCATATCTAATGTAGTGCATATTTGGTTGTTTCAGGAAGTCCTTTCTCTTGTAGCAATGCTGTGTGCTGGAACAACAAACACTTATTCCTCTATTTTAAAAAGAATGGTTTGAATTTCATAAAATTTTCAAAACTTTATATTCTGTTTCAGTTAAACATAGACCACTCCATGATTAAAATGGTATGCACGATCACATTCATGTTTCTAAAATAGCTGGTAATATAGTTTTAGACATTCACGAGTACTCTGTTACAAAGTAAAGGTCCCGTGCTGAAAATGTTACTTAAGTAAAAACACAAAAAACTTAAAATTTCAAAAGTAAAACTCCTAAATGCATATTTTTTTTGTGCAAAAGTTTTAATATGTGATGTACCCAAAGCTGTCAGAAAAATGTAAAGTAAGACCATTTCCTCCGAGATGCAGTGATTTGGAAGTATAACGAGTTTTGAAAAGAAAATATTCAACTAAAGAACAAATACTTCAAATTTGTAGGCCTACTGATGTACATTATTTGAGTAAAAGTATTTAGTTACATTCCACCACCAAAAATTCTACAAGTGGAGACAGTTTTAAAACATACTTACTGCAGATGTACAGTGCATATGTAAGTGTGTGCATGTTTTAATAATATATTCATATAAATTACATGCATGTAAACATATATTGCACTTAAAACATTTTTTTTCTTTTTGAGGGACATACAATATAAATTAACATTGAAACCACACATTTCTTTTTGTAATATGAATCATATGCTTCATAAAATACTGTTTATTGTTTTATTGGTTTTCTTTACTTCTCTGAATTTATCGTCAAAAATACATTTAAAAACAATGTAAAATATACACTGATTACATCCTTAAGAGGAATGTAAGACAATGTAGTTTTGCATTTAATCCATTTCATTGTTGTAAACATTGCTTTAATGCCAGTTTTACTCATTCATTTGGGCTGAGATGTGCCACCCTGTGGTCATCTCAGGAACGTGAGCATCAAGATGTTTTTTCCTTCTTTATACAGAGAGTTATTATTAATTATATCTTATACTTTGTTTATGCACCAAAAACAGATTGTAGGACCAACTTGGGAATTCCTTGGAGAAAATAAGAAGCAGTGAATAAGGAAAGTAACTGCAGAGCAAAGATGACCACAGGAGAGTCTACATCTTATCTTAAGCATCCATAAAAAATAGAATTCTGTTGTATCACTACATTGAAACCATAGCTTAGCACTGAATTTATGTATAAAAACTGTAACCTTGAATACATGCATTGATCTATATATTATATTACATTAGTTTGCATGATTGTTAAACATCCTTGAATCCATGTTAAGTTGGTTAACTTTTACAAATGAGTCACTAGATGGCGCCCTTCTCCTTACGCACTGCTTAAAAAAGCACATCCACATTAGTGTGACGGAAAAGAGGTGCAGAAAATCAAATGTTAGAGTTGTGCCTTTTGATGGACACGTATACATGCAATACCTGCATATCTTTTCTTAAGGTTAGAGTCTGTTCTTGCCTTCATTTTTCTTTTCTATTTTTGTGGTATTCTTTCATCTGAAGTGACTGGATACTGCTGGGGTTTTCCTTAACTAATGATTTCCTTTCGGTTTGGATATATGATTACCAGAGAAGCACAGCATCTCATTTAGGGGAACTAGATGGTGCACTGAAACTCAAGGAGCCTAATTGTTCTCCAGATTGGATCTGTTCTATTCTATTCTATTCTATTCTCGATAAACGTAATGCTTCCACATCACCAGCCCTGACATTAAACGCTCCTCGGTCTGCAAGCTGTAATCTGCAAGTTTTGGCACGTGCTCAGGCGTAGACCGGAGGAGACTGTGCGCGAATGGCACGCGGACAGATGTGCCCTCCTCCTCCTCTTCTTCCTCCTCCTCCTCCTCTTCCTCCACCAGCCCCCTTTGAGCTGCTCCCGCGCCGGAATGATTGACACCGAGCTGTTCGCGCAGCCAATCGGAGCGCGCTTTGCTGTATTTGCATAAAGTGGCCGCACGCCATTGGCTCGGTGCGTGCTGCTGCAAACCGCCTCGCGTGCCATTACAGATGTCTTCTCCTTGGAGGCAGAGAGGAGGCTTAAAATAGATAAAGGCTTTATTTGTTTTCAAGCATAGGGAGGGGGGAAATATCATATAAATATATGAATGTATGTACTCTGTAACATTTTGGATACGGTATTTACGCACCATTGGCACACTTTTACGCATGAACCAAAATGCACCCAGAAAACAATGCAATCACAAATGTTATTGAATGCACTGATTTCTCAACATAAACAACAAACTGTCAGAGTTTGGCTGCTGTCTTGCGCTGTAAAAATCAATACATAGACCCTGCATGCACACTACAAACGCGCACACACACATACACACAACATTTTTCACGAGCAAGGAGCAAAGTTGGAAGCAAACATCCAGCGCATTCCCCCCTTATCACCTCACGGTCCGGCCCGGCCGCGGCTGCTCGCTCCGCTTTGTTGTTTGTCCCTGCAGGGCTGATTGAGCAGCGCGTGACTGACGGCCCGCGGGGGTGTTGTCCAATCAGCGGTCTGCCCCGCGCCCAATGGGTGAGTCCTCTCTGCGATTGGTTGAGGCGAGTGTGGGAAAGAATGCAGAGAGGGTTTCACACGAACTGGGAGCACGCGAGCCGTCTATAAGTAGCGCGGCGGCGTGTGTCGGCGGCAGAAGTGGAGAGTCGCTCCGCGCACGGCGCACCGCACGCTCCGCACTCATCACATGACAGCGCAGTGATCACAAGCGGCACAAACTACAACGGAGGGATACTCAGATCGTGTATGATCTGCAGAGGCTCCGAGTGACTTTTTATTTTTTTTCCAATACCATTTCCACTTCGCTTCCACAGAGGATTTACTTCTTTACGCGTTTTACCCGGTGTGATCAATAATGCCAGCTGACACGATGGAAAAGCAGACGGCATCTCCGATTGCCGGGGCTCCTGCAAACGGATCTCATACACCGGACAAACCGAAAAATGCCAGCGAGCACAGAAAAGTAAGGAATATTACTTTTTTTTCTTCTTTTTTAAAAATTGTTTGAGGAAGTTTTGTTTTAAAAGTTTGCCATTCAGCTGTTACGCACCGTGCAAGTCCATACCTGTGAATGGTAAACAGTGTACTAATGTGGAATTGTTTTATTCTTTGCAGTCGTCCAAACCGATCATGGAAAAACGCAGAAGAGCGAGAATAAACGAAAGCCTTGGACAGCTCAAGACGCTCATCCTGGACGCGCTGAAAAAAGATGTAAGTTGAAGCAAATTTTGATCTCTTGAAATCAAGACTTTATTCTCAACACATGGTTATCTCGTTTCAAATGTGCCTTAAACATAGACTCAACTTTTTATGCTTCTTCTTGCAGAGCTCCAGACACTCCAAGTTGGAAAAAGCAGACATCCTGGAGATGACAGTGAAGCACTTGAGGAACCTGCAGCGCGTACAGATGAGCGGTAAGTTTATCTTATCAAACAGGACATTCTGAAGTCAAGACTTTGCAGAAAGAGTCTCAAGGCCTCAGATTTGTCACAGATATTCATCGCCTTTCTTTCTTTCTCTCTGCCAGCAGCGCTCTCAGCGGATGCCACAGTCCTGAGCAAATACAGAGCCGGATTCAACGAGTGCATGAACGAGGTCACCCGCTTCCTGTCCACCTCCGAGGGGGTGAACACGGAGGTGAGGTCGAGGCTCCTCAACCACCTGTCCAGCTGCATGAGCCAGATGATGTCCATGAACTACCCGCAGCAGGCCCCGTCCCAGCAGGCGCACCTGGCCCAGCCGCTCCATGTGCAGCTCCCATCCACTCTGCCCATCAGCGGAGCAGCTATGGGCTCCAAGCTCAGTCCTGCCGAGGCAGTCTCCCCTAAAGTCTTCGGTGGGTTCCAGCTGGTGCCCGCGACCGATGGACAGTTCGCTTTTTTGATCCCCAACCCGGCCTTTGCCTCCGCCACAGCCCCTGTCATCCCCCTTTACGCAAACGCAGGAGTGCCTGTCGCGGTTAACGCCAGTCCGGTTCACGGCAGCTCAGCACCGACTGCAGCATCTCCAGTCCACGGCATGACGTCCTTCTCCGGGGGGTCCCAGGCCGTCAGCCCGGTGGGGGTCAGCACTGGCTCCGAGAGCAGCGAGCCTGTGTGGCGGCCTTGGTAGTTTACGTGGCCCAGAGACTCATGTGAAACCAGTTTGCATTATTTTTCCAGTTTAGACTTTTAACTGACTGCACACACAACTGTTGCGGGAGTTGAACCTGTGACTTTTCCGCTACGGGATGGTAACTCTAACCACTGAATGCCCCCCCAGTAGTTCTTGTTGTTTCGTTTTATGGAACAGAAGTTGCCTTAAATGGCTCATGATTTGTTTTTGTTTTTTTTAATAATTTATTGTTGATTCCAACATTTGGATGTCGGTGGTAAACATGCAGATGGAAGATTTATAGGAAATTTTTGTTATGAAGTACTTTTTATGAAAAGGTTTAGTTTTGTACAGAGGTGTTATTGTTTTACCAAAGCTGTGTTTTATATTCTTTGTTGATTTCTGTTGAAAAGAAAAAGCTGAAGTTGGGTGGTGACCCATTGTTTTAATAAATAAGATTTCATAAAGTCATTTCTTGTGTACAGCCTGTTTCTATCGTATCCTTGTTGCTTTGTTATACTTTATTCTGTCGTTCTTCAGTTTTTCATGACGTGCGTAAAAGTTACATTGGATGCGTAAAAGTTACATTTGATGCGTAAAAGTTACATTGAATGCGTAAAAGTCACATTTAATGCATAGAAGTTCCTCTGAGAAATATGTCAGAGAATATGGCTTTTAAAAAAGATACAGTAGTTTTATCTAAGATCAAAATGATCCAATATATCGATTATGTTCCCAACATGAATTCCTTCATTAAATAATCTACTAGGTTGTAAGTGGCCACCTTGTCAACAGTTTGGCGGGAGCTCCTTACATCTGGCCCTTTGGAGAATGGTCCAGGGGACAATGGGAGTGTATTTTTCTATTGCTATAAAGGTAATTAAAAGTTTGAAAAGGGTCTCATCCTGTATGCAGCGGGAGCTTTAAGAAGTCTTAAACCCTATTCATGAGCCTGGGAAATGCGCTCAGGGGTTAATGTCACTAACAGATTGCCTCAGTGAAAGGAGAATATGGAAGGATCCTCGCTTTCTTTTGTGTATCAATTGTTCAATTCCACTCCCAGTGGGCCTACACCTCAATAAAGGAGGGGACGAGGAAACTTTGTCAGACTTTGCTCTCATGGTAAGGGAACCGGAACAGATAAATAAACCTGCTGCAAGTTATCATGTGAAACTTGATATGATCTAGTCCCCAACGATCACTTTATGTCTCTGTCACACACTCTCTCTGTCTTGATTAGTTTTCATAGTCATTCTGTCTCCTACATCTATTTAGGCGCCTTTTTCTCACAGCTCTGCACTTAAAGGTCTCTCTCTCTCTCTATCTCTCCCCCGTGTTCTGTTCATCCCTGGGTGTAAACTTATTTTCCGCCGGTTGGTGGGGTCCGGAACTCTGGGCAGTGTTTCCGTGTCGGGCGGCATGGCGCTAGCCGTGTGTCAGCCACTTGCAGTCAGCGGGCCCCTCTACTTGGGATTAGGTTACAGCCGGTCAGACCCCCTCAACATTTAATACTCTACCGGCGCGCCTTTGGGTGCGCATGGCTGGCACAGGCCAAAAGTAAGACGGGTTTAAAGTCTTTCTTTGCTCTGACCACAAGGAGATGAAAGATAAACAAATATCTGATCTTAACGAGTTCTTCAGTTCAAAATGTTCAGGCTGCATACTTTGCGGACGTGCGCAAATTTGTCTAGAAAACGAAGCATCATATCCAGTCTACAAATACGGCCTCTCTGAAACTTTCAGGGGTTATACAGACAGTAGCGTCAATATGACATGGATTTATGTAAAAATCACAAGAAGAAAAAAGTTTTTTTTTTCTTTTTAAAGCAAAGCCTTTTCTTTTTCCAGCATCCTGGCATACGTACGTGACTGTGATGGGTGTTGCTTTTCTTTTTTTACTTGTACATCTCTTGATATTAATGTTCAATTTACAGTTGGAGTGCCATGTTAATTCATGTACTTGCCTCCTTGCTTTCACTCCGCTGAAAGTCTGTGCCCTGCAGGTGACACCGACAGTAAATGGCGCACTGAAACCTCACTGTCAGTGATGCTTGAGCAGCTTCCTCTTGCAAGGAGGCATACTGAAACACCAGTTGGCAGCATGTGTGGGTTCTGCGGTTGTTCGTACTGCCTTCGTGTCTGAGTTAATAGTTCAGAGATGCCTTTGTGGAGCTGAGGTCGTGAGAACCGAGCGAACTAGTCTGCCTGCGGCCGGGCACAGCGCCAGTCAGTAAATCCCCGCTGGCAGGCCGGGTCGTGCAGCCGCTCTGCGGAGGTGAGGAGGCGAACACACACACGCGTGGCCGCCAAGAAGGGCGCCTGGTCCGGTGTAAACATGAGGACAGTGGGGGAGACGCGGCTCCAGCAGTGGAGCTACTCTCCCAGGAGAAGTCAACTGAGTCCAACTTATTTTCATGGCAACATATTGTAAACTGCAAATCAGTGCAAAGCTGCTGCTGCGTCTCTTCTGGTATGTTGGGAAAGAAGATAGATAAGAAACGCCACATTTACACTGTGTGCACTGAAGAACCCAACAACTGTATTATGTTCAACAGAGCAGGCCCATAGACCGAGACAAATATGAAGTTTAGAACAGCTACATAAAAAAATATGAACACATTGTGGCACCAGATAGAACAGAAAGGTCAAATAATGTCGGCGGTTAGTTTGTGACTGAAAGTAATGCTGTCTATATTACTTATAGCTTCCTGCGCTGCAGCTCCCACCTGCAGTATCGAGGCAGTTTGGATTATCAACCATTTAAAACAGGCGGGAATCCCTCTCTGGTGATGAAAAGGATTCCTACAGAGGGCTGGATGTCCCTCGGGGACCTGCGCAATCACGTCCCACGGGAGAAGTCACTATTGAAGGGGGGGCAGGGGTCATCAGAGGAGCCACAAATTATCATTCTCATTAGCGACTGAATGGAGGAACGCGCGCACAATGTTGCCGCCAAACTTTTAACATCAAGTCTCCCTCCAAATTCTCAATCGCTATTGTCGCATTAGGCCTTGTTGAGGCAGCACTTAATGCTTTTTGTATGCGTTTTCTATCTATGCAGTGAGTGCTGCATCTTTCATAAAGGCCTGAAACATCTAATTATCTGCTCCAAACTCCAGAATGTGTCACGTTTTAGTCCAACAGGCCCTTCAGTATGAATGTAATCACTGTTTTGTGTCATATCTGCACACATTTTATTCTAAAAGTATTTCATTCAGTTAATTCCCTGACTGGGATTCCATGAGTCATAGAGCTCAGTTTGACAATAGAGTGTCTGCTGGATGAACCTCAGGAGGGCGGTGTCTTTATTGTGAGCCTTCTTTAATTTTTTTAACCTGTAGTAGCCAACCCATGTGGCAGGAAGCGCCAAGAATTTTTTAATTGCAACCAAAGAATTAAACAGGTGATTTCTCTGGTTAGTTCCTCTTCACTGAACAAAAGCAAAACACCATTCTATGTTCCTACTGTATTTAAAACTATAATTTTTTAGTATTCAAAGCAAGTTGATCACCTCAAGTACAAAGAGCCACTTTGGAGTTCTGAATGTTCTTTTCCACTATGAAAACAAGTTTAGGAATATTGCTGCCTCTTGTGGATTGTTTGAGGGACAGCTCAACTGCCCTGACTTTCACATGGATATCTTGTTATATTTCCGTCTTGATTTGGAGACACTGCAGCTACTAGGACAGAAGGAAATGTTCTGCATGCTTTGGCTACAGGTTTTGGTTGGAGAAAGGCGGGGCTGGAGCCGGCCTCAGGCGTGGAGTGTGCACATGTGTCGGTCTGTGTGCCGACACTCCTCTTTGCACCTGTTTTCTTGAGAATCAGAGAGGGAGGTGGGGAGAGGCGGATAAGGATGAGGAACCAGACAGATTTAGAGGGGTGGGGATGTGAGAGAAAAAAGAAAAAAAGGTGGTGAACCTTAGGAAAGAGCAACATGGACACATCTGCAGGTGTTTGCTTTGAAAGGGGAAAATGATGCACACAGCAACTCTGAAGATTAAGTTAACAGATTATGAGCTCATTTTTCTTTAGTGTCACTTCACATTTGACTCCTTGACACCTCATTAACAGGTGTTTACTTTTTATGTTTTGCCTGCTTCCTCCTCCCACTGCCTGCACTTTTTTTTTTTTTGGCTCCCTCCGAACTTCCATCCAGCCTTTGTATTTATAGCAAGGGACCACTTATCCCTGCGACCGGGTGTGAGGTGTTGGGTGTGTGCAGACGGAGGAGGTGAAGCAGGGTGGGCAGACGCAATAGGACGTGTCAAGCCTGATCAAATATCACAGGGTCCGGGGTGCCGCGTGGGCTCCGTTGATCCTCACCGCTTGTCCACAGAACGTATTTCTGAGGCCAGGTTTGGCTTTTCAGCAGCTTCTTCAGTTTCATGGCATGAGGCCTGCGGCTTACAGCCTTTGCCACTGGTGCAGATTCCACAAGGGAAAGTAAAGGGTCCTCTTGACAGGGGTCATCCTGCAGACTCCTAGGTGGCCTTGAAGGAGCCCCGTCTTCAATTCTGGACACATTTTATTTATGTTTTTATCTACCGAGGGGTTATCCCGGTCTTTCCCCCTGCTGCTTTTTGCAGCTGTTGCTCTATTTTTGCTCTGGTTCACAGTTCAGCACACTAGTCTCAGAGGTAAATACTTAACTAATGGTGTCCTAAAGTAGAGGATGTGAAAATGAAGCACCGTGGAGACGAAATAATGTCAAGACCCCTGACTTTTTAAGAGTTTTAAAACAACATTTCCAACAGCTGAGGTGACATTTTTCTTCATGTAAGAACAGAGGATAGTATATTTTGTAAAGCTCTTTGTGGCAAGTTTGTGATTTGAGGTGTTATAAATTAAACTGACATGACTTAAGAAGACTTAAAGATAAAGAAATGAACCTTCTGATTGTTGGAGGTGAAGTTTTTAAGCAAATTATTCAGTAATGACATATGTCTGTTTCACAAATTGGTTCATTTTTGGATCAAGCAAATCCATAAGCAATGATGTTGCGTAATCAACAGAAATATTCAGTTGCAAACTGATTATGACACAAGTAAAAGCATGCGAGACAGATATTTTAGTATTTAGTAATTGCTGTGGTAAATGTAATTGTGAATTCCAAAAGTAAAAACAATTATAGTAGGTGGCTCAATATCACCACCTAGTGTATGATGCTCACAAGATTACATTCAAAAGTGTGTGTGTGTGTGCGTGTGTGTGTGCGTGTGTGTGTGAGACTCGCTGTCTCACCACACGCCCCGACTTGTACCCAGTTTGACACTTGAGAGGACGGTGTACAGTGGTGTGACTCATATGTCTGTTCAGGATGCCATCGTCTGCGTGTGTTGTTTGTGGGGGAGTGTGTTTCAGCCTCTTCCTTTCCTTGTGTGTGCATGTGTGCGTGCGTGTGTGTGTGTGTGTGCGCGAGCATGGTTTGTGAAAGCAGCATTTTAGTTTTGTGGTCGGCTGACTGTGAG